CTCGCTCAAGCGACGTTATGATCGCTCGAGCGACAAGTGATTCGAATATGTGGTGACCCATGTCATATTATGTGGCTACTTGCGTTGGACGTTTCCTCTACGGCCAACACTCGCTCAAGCGAGAAATCCATCGCTTGAGCGAGGTACCCTTACAAAAAATAGGGACTCTCGGGTTGTTTCTCGCTCAAGCGACGTTATTCTCGGTCGAGCGGCAAGTGATTCAAATATGTGGTTATCCATGTTATAGTATGTGGCTAACTGCATTGGACATTTCATCTGTGGCCAAGGCTGAACTTGAATGAGACGTGACATGCAAATTTCAATATGTTTTTTGTTAAGCGCATTCTTTACAACTATTAAGCATGAAGTTATCTGTTATGTACAAAGATGATACGTAAACCTATACATCTTTCCTACAATAAATATTATCACTTGTACAATTTCCATATGCTAGTTTATATTGTTCTCTTCCCTTGTTCTTTTAATCTGAATTTCTTCTTTTATATTACATATCAACATCTTGCCATCAGAAATTCAAATGGAAATTAATGACCATTTTGTTTTGTGGAACTAAGTTATACTTGGCCGATTGTTGATGTTACTATGATGTTTACTTGAGCAGTGAGAGTGGGTGGTGGCCACGCTCCATATATCATCCAAGTATGTGGTATGAGGATAGTTCTACCCTTATCAACCAATCCAACATGCCCTTTAACAGTTAATACTATAGAGGAGCATCTTCATCTTCATATGCTCGTAACATATAAATCTGGTAGTAATTACATGTATTTTGTACAAATGTGGTTCTCAATATACACTCTCTGTTACATGGAGATAGTCTGCATCATCTGAATAGGGATATTGTGCAACTAGGACGGTAAAACCCAATCAATAATGTAATTGTCAAAATAAAAAAAATAATACAAAAAATAGTAACCATGGTCCAAAAATCAGTCACTTGTTAATGTCATAATATTTAACATTTAAATGATCCATAACCAACTTAACAGTTATATTACATATGAATAAACTGTACAACATTCATCAATGAAGATGAACAAATAATCAAATACAATATCTACATTTCTATTCCTAGATGAGGATGTTAACTCCTGATTCAATAACCATGACTTGTCGATGAAGATTTTGAGGATGAAGTACCCATCTGCATACATATTCTTCTCAAAATTTCTGAACTTGCTCCTGTACAATATGAAGAATGTCTTCATAGTAATAAAAAACAAAACAATAATACAATGACTTTAATGTTTACCGATGTGTAATGAGGCATGCTTTTCCCATTCACTTTGCTCACACCATCCCACAACTCCATATATTTTAAAACAAACAATCCACAATCATACCTGCACAATTGAATGTAGTTATTACACACATTACATACAACATTTTGCAAACAAAATTTCAACTATAATAACATACTAACATGTTTGGTTGAATTGGCAAGTCCTCCTTTGTAACCTTAAGTTCTCCAGTGGTCCTCGATGACTTTGTTTCCAACAGCGACAATAGATGTTCAAAACATTGCAATTGTTCACAATATTACATTATTCGCCAAATAAACATAGCTCTGAATTAACTATATTACCTACGTAAACAACTTAAAACAAATATTTACCATAGCTCTATCAATTGGTTTTCGTGATTTATTATCATGGCTCAATGAATCTAATATAAACAGTTCTCCATCCTTACATTTCAGCACATAACACCACCAATGACCATTGTGTACAGTGGGAGCAAAAATCTGAAATAGAAAAAAATCTGGTTAATTGAATTTTATCTTGACAAAAATATAAATTTTAGGCAAAGTATAAATACTCACAAGTTCACAACTCAATAACTGCTGCAATGGAATAATTGTATTTGGATAGAAAAGTGAGAAGTCTTTCATTGTCCACATCGATGTTTTCCCTTTGCGAATATACATTTGTTCAATCACTTGTGTCTATCAAAAGGCACAAAAATAAATGAAAATCAATGATAATATACCTATGTGCAACTTAACTTTTTAAATGCACAATAAACATACCGCAAACAAAGGATTGAAACAAAAACGTTGAATTCTGCCACCAGTGACATTCATTTGGTCATACATCATTACACTACTTGCAAACAGCATCACCTAACAATCCATATGATATTAATAAATATAATTTTTAAAAATATATTGAATCACACTTTTTCATTAAATAAACAAACTTATCATATTATCAATATGACCCCTTGACTTTAATGTCTGCAAGTTCTGCATAGTCAATATCTGCCCATGCACTTCCACTACAATACTGAAATACAATAATGGATTACATTGCATTTTATACTAATTAAATTGAATGAATGTAATAAATTTGATTATATACTAACCGGTTTGGATTATCAAGGTTGGTGGTGCAAAACTTATACAATTGATACATGTCATCATCCTCACCAATCCCCTTCGCCTTTATCGATGACTTATTCATGTGAATCCCGATTTGTTCTTTCAAAATTTTAACTTCACGTTCAAGTTGAATGATCCTTTTTTGATTTTCTTCTGTTTTAGATCTCCATATGCGTTGGTCCGATAAAAGTTGTTGCAAGTCACATGACGCACCACTGGAGGAAGGTATGTCCGTATTCTTATTTTGTGAATGCGTCAAAGCTTCTTGCACAACTTTCATTGTCTGATCATCCACAGACAGTGCCCAATCCCATACAATCTAACATATAAAGGAAAACTTTATATGTTAGGAACATAATATAATAAGTCCACATTTTTAAGGAAAATTTATATATGTTGTACACAAAATTTCTTACATTGTTTGAGATGAGTGCACGTTCTATTTTGGACCTTCGAATGTTCACGTTAGGCCATTCAACAAAACGCGGAAAACAAATCTTTCGTGGTGGATCAGTAGGCAAAGACAGATGCTCCACTGCCCAGATCTATTACATAATACAATGTCATTAGTCACAATAATTTCATACCAACTAATAAATCAATCATTTGTAAGAAAGTTACCTGTAAGACAACCACACAACCAGCAACGTACAATTGAGAAGCATTCTTTTGCTCGTTTAACTTTGTACTAGCACAATGCAAACTATTAACTAATAAACCGTGCACAACATTTCTTCAATTATAATTATCTAATGTCTCTAAATCATCTAATAAACTAAAAGGAACACTATGAACAGTGCGGGATGTGCGAGGAAAGTAAAAAATTGCCCACCCAAGTAAGATATAAAGCCTACAAAAGTCAACTACATATTTAACATGCTTAATTTTTTTTCCTTTCAACTTCCTAACTATATTTGTTACTGTTATTGGTTCTTCTTCGTCGAATAAATCTTTTACTAAACATGAACCACTATCTTCTAAAACAACTACCTCCCCCCTTATACGTAAACCTAACGAAAAACAAACATATAAAGGGGTGAATGGGACAAGATATTGTTTTATTCTAAAACAATGATCACTAACTGACCATCGACTAACTAGTTCTCTTATAATATTGCTTGATATTTGCAATGGCTCTTTTATTTGAAGAAGTCATTTAAACAGAGTTTGTTCAATAGTTGCTTGTTGGTGTTTGGTCAACTTTGAATTTATATCAGCTATATACTCTGTCTCAATCTTGTGTCTTAATCTTATCTGCACATATAACATGTATAGCATATATAACATACATAACATATAACAAATTGAATATTTAGTAAATCACTTTTCATAAAAAAACTATAATTAACATGCACATACCTTTTTCTCGTCACGACAGTCTCTTTTTGCAGACATTTTTTCCCAAACTAATCCTGTTACAAATTATTAAAATTGTAACTTACAATGACAAAATAGTAAAAAAAAAAAATTAAGTCCAACCATGTTACACATAATTTTGGTCAAATTGTGAATTATGCAAACGTGGGTGTAAATCTTGTGCATATTATACAAAATGTTTGTCATGCAAATACAATTCTTCATTGTAGCATTTCATCAAACACTTGTTGGACATTAATATAGCATCACAACTCAATTAACCCTAAACCCTACAGAATACTTTCATTACAAACCCAATCAAAGATAAACAGAAAACAAAGTTAGAATGCGCAAATACAATTCTCCATTATAGCATTTCATCAAACACTTGTTCGACATTAATATAGCATCACAACTCAATTAACCTTAAACCGTGAAAAACACCTTCATTACAAACTCAATCAAAGATAAACAGAAAAGAAAACAACAATGGAAACCCAATCAAAAATGCACACAAAATCAAGCAAATGTTGTTAAACGAACACTCACCGCAGGGTCGCTCAAGCGACAGACAGTGATATTCAGCTCCAACGACACGAAGGAAGACAAGCGAGAGGAAGTCGAGCGCCATGAAGAGTGAAACGGATAAGACAAGCGAAAATTTACCCTAAGTTGAGCGAGAGAAAATCGAGCGAGGTCGAGCGAGAATGTGTCAAGCGAAAAATACTGTACCTTCTTCAAACATATATTTCACTTTTTACCATAACATCCCCCATTTTTACAATATTACATCTCTGACCCCCTACAATTTTACTAATCAAACCCTTATTTTTAATTAATTTATTTTTGGCCCCAGTTGTCAAACATATGTTTTTTTTTCGGTTGTCAAAGTATCGTTTTCGTTATCTTTTCATATGTATTCAAGTCTCTGGCATCGTTTATGATCAGAGAGTGGTAGTTTATATATGAAATCGGCAAGAGAATGAAAGAAAAAAAAAATCTAAAATATTTTTTTACTGTCTTTCTACTTATTTGCATAGTAAGTATTGAATGTATTCTATGTTTCAAAGATTTTTATTTTTAAGATGTTTTTTAATTAAATCAAAATTATTATCATAGTGATTTTTAAGGTGTTGAATGATAACCGAAATTACTTGGAGAATAATTTGTGACAAAAAGTTAACCTGTCTCATTTTTTATTTGTATAAACCGAACTCATTATAATTAGAATAGTCCATAAATCTTATTCTTCCTATTAAAAAATTATTACTAGGTTAGTTCAATATATATATATATATATATATATATATATATATATATATATATATATATATATATATATATTAAAAAATATATCATTAACCATAAAAATATTTTAAATTTTTTATTCATTAATTAATATTTTTATTAAAAAACTTAAAAAATGAATATATTTATATATTAAATATTTAATTATAATTAATATTTTAAACTTAATTTATTAATATTTATGATTTAAATTATAATATAATTTTAAATTATTTTTATTTAATTAAATCTTTCCATCAATATTATTGGATGTTTTGTCATCTATATTTCTTTTTAATTAAAATTCTTCCAACAACATTATTATAGATATGATTTTTTATTATATTTATTCTAGATTTTCTATATCTATATCATTTTTTAAAATTATAAAATTGTCTATTATTTGTATAATATATATATATATATATATATATATATATATTATTTTTTTCTATTTTGAGATATTTTGTAAAATAAAAGAGGACATATAAAATAAAATAAATAATAAGAGAATGAATAAAACAAACTAAATATAACCATATAGCTTGGTGTTCCTAATGACATTTTTATCAAAAAACTCATACTGTTTGCAGAAGTTATCATAAAAAATAAAAGATCTATCTTATACTACTTGTTATTCTGCTAATACATGAATGGTGAGGATAAAGAACAATTTGGAACAGTGCTTGTAGCTGTTCCATGAGCATTGTTACAAAAACAAGAAACTGGTTTTTCTGGTTGAGCAGAAACAATGTTGATATGATCCAATGCAATGTTGAAACAACCTGATGAGGAACAGTTCAAGGTAATAGCTAGCTCCTTCTCAGATGTTCCATTAAATCTACTGAATGTCACATCACTCACCTTCACTGATGCATTCTATCATGTGTAACCAAATTTCAAATTTCAAATGCAACGTTAATAAGCAATTATCAGGGATATATATAATATGAAATCACTAAGGAAGTTAAGGGAATATACCGTTAAATATTTTCTGTCATAGTACTGGTCTATGATTATAGGGTTGCGAGCCTGTGTTAATGTTATGTTCTCAAAAGTGATGTTTCTGGCATAACCTGATCCACCCTGTAAGAAATTGGACAATTTCATGCAGTAAGAACATACATTCCAATATTTCCATAGCATTTGATTCTTGGTTTCATCATGTACTTCTCCAAATCATTGTTAAGGTTTTAAAATAATGATTCTGTAATATACTGTTAGTCATGGTTGTTTATATAATCAATTACTTGGTTTCAGCAACAGAAAAACAACAGATATAGCAGAATATATAGACCCTTATATTACTTACCGGGACTGTCTTGATTCTTGCTCCATTTTCAGTGTTGGTGAAGCTGCAATTTTTTACATAAACTTCTTCCACTGTATCATAAGCTTGGTTTCTTCCCAGGCTGCCAATGCTGATTAATTTGCTCATGTTAATAGATGAGGTTTGTTAAATTTGGAAAGATATTAAGTAATATCAAGGAGTGCAAAGTGTTTGACAATTCCATAAAATGTTTGTAAAAACCTTATTCCATGGCCTGGTCCACAAGCAATTCCAGTGGCATTAATGTAGGAAGAACCACCACTGATGGCAATACAATCATCACCTTTTCAGAAAGACAATTAAGACATGTTAGAGTTGCAGAAATAGTGATTATTTAAAACCATTCAACATTGCAATCTGATATATATGTAGATAACATGAAAACATGGTTTACCACATGCTATAGTGGAATTTTGAATCAAGATATTTTTTGAAGTATAAATGTCAAATCCATCAGTGTTGGGGCTGTCACCAGGAGAATGAATGGTGATATTGGAGAATGTGGCATTCTCACATCCATTGACCCTTATGTGAGCTTTTGGACTGTTGGTGATGTTAAGATTAAAAACAGTAAGATCACTACAATATCTGAATCTAAGAATCTGCATCAACCACGAAAAATTTAGTCTCAATATATATATATATATATATATATATATATACAGAATAACTTAAGAACTGAAGGTATATGAGAGAAGAGAAAGTTTAGACAGAATAGTCAAACCGTTGGTCTATAACAATTCGTGCATTGCCACCAAGAAGAACCATAGCCATCGATTGATCCTCCACTTCCATTAATTGAGAGACTACTAACGTTTGATATTACAATCAAATTGGTGATTTCATTATTAGTGAGACCTCTTGGCCATTCATCCATGGCTGGTGCAACTATTCTCCCTTGAAGCTGCAAGAAGATATATACATTGTAGCTATTTAATTCTAGATTTATGGTTCATATGCATGTTTGGATTAATTACTATCTTTTTTAACACAAAAATGTTGATTATCAAATAGAGAAAACTACTCTCACAGCACCATATATATATATATATATATATATATATATATATATATATATATATATATATATATATATATATATATATATATATATATATATATATATATATATATGATTATTATATTAATTTTTATGCCTTCTGCGACTAGAGAAAATATTTCTTTACATAGTTTATTTTAGAATTTATAAACCAGTTTAAAATGTAGTGTCAGAAAATATTTTTTACATCAGTTTTTGAATTGATTTATAAATATTATATTTAAATCTACTAAGCTATTTTAATAATAACAAAAATTTAATGAAAAATTGAAAATGAAGTAGTAATTATTTGCATCTGCCAAGAATGATGAATTTTCATCTTAACACAAGATTATTTCTAAATATTGTTAGAGGATTGAATAGAGAATATTTTACTTTAAAAATACATAAATCAATGTCATTAAAAGATTATTTATAAAAATAAATAAATATATTTTTAGTTTCTGGAAAATAAATGAATTTTGGTTTTAGTCTCTGGAAAAATGTTTTCTTTTCAATCCTTGTTAAAAAATCAGTTTTAATACGAATAACATATTAAATAATCTTTTCTAGTATAGATTTACTAGTGTTATTACTCAAATGTCAATTGAAAACTTTATAGCTAAGGCGATAAAACAAGTGTTATTTATCTCTATTAAATTAAAACAGTTATTTAAAATTTTAGGATTATGAAAAAAATTAAATATTGTTCCGCTCACGGTCACTAATCATCGTTTAAGAATTGAAGTAAAATATAATTTATATACACTTTTTTTTATTCTTGTATATTTTATAAATTAATAAAATAGTCTTAAATTAAAAAATATGAATTTAATCTTTTCATAAACTTTATAATAATAAAAATTTACTATTAATAATTTATAGTATTGTTAAATTAATTATGTTTGAGATATTATCGACTTTATAATTTTAGTTTGATTTTTTTCTTTTTAAAATCTTAAAAACAAATAATATATATAAATTATCTTTCACTTAGAATATATTCTCTAATTAAATATATATAATTTCAGCGATATTGGAACAAAGATAATTTTAATTTTTATATAAAAATATTAATAATAAAATAAAAAAAATCGTTAATTTTATATACAATAATAATATATTTAAATTTAAATATTGAATTGAAGATGTTTTACCTGAATATTAACACTTGTGGCATTGCAAGGGCCTCTAAAGTTTATGACTTTTACCAAGAATTTTCCATTTGGTGGTATAAGAAGAGTTGATGCTTCTTCTGCTCCACACGTAGCATTCCATGCACTTACAAAAGCCTACTTCAACTCAAAACATAAAAAAAGTCACATATTCCACATAAATTTTAAATTCAATTTATTTTGGACTAGAAAAAAAAAACATAGAAAAAGTACCTCAGAATCATCAGATTTGCCATCACCATGAGCACCATAGTCTATCACATTATAAGTTCTGTTTTCAGTTCCAACAATCCACATTCCACATAAACATGGTGAAACAAAACTAAGAATCAAAAGACAGAGACAAGCAATCAATGTTTGCATGTTTGAGAACACTGAAATCACAAGGGTAAGATGTTTTTTTTTTGTATTTTTTTTGTTGTTGTTGAATATCATAGGAAGTTCAAGAATGAACTAATACATAATGAGGGAAAACATAGGTATTGGAGTTCAATTAAATAGAAGTTGCATCATAAAAAAAAAAAAAAAGTGGGTGAAAAATAAAATTACAAATATTTAAATATGTATTTAATGGTCAATAACAATTTTATTAAATATATAATAATAATAATAATAATAATAATAATAATAATAATAATAATAATAATAATAATAATTACATACATGTGTGAGTTATATTAATTATATAAATTTTTAACATTTTTTTATAATATTATATTAATGAAATGTGTGTAACTTACAGTATATATTTTACTTGATAAAGTAAAAAACTAAATTATTTATATTTGTATAAAATATACATTAATAAAGTCTGAGTTTATAGTTGTGTGTGATTTTTTAATAATTAAATTTTATTTAATAACATATTTTTATTATACATAAATTTATATGAAAGAACACATATTCAGCAAGAATTCATTATTTTTTATTCTGAACTATATTTCATAAATATTATATTTAATATTATTGTTATTTTTAATTAAATATTATATTTAATAAACAACTATTATTATTAATTTTAAATATATTAATAAACATAATTAATACTAATACTTTTTTATTTATATAGAAAATAATAATAGCATGAAAACTTAAAATAGTTTGAAAATATGTTTTGATTTATATTATAATTTGAAATTTGTTTATAACATATATGTTTAACGGAAGGTCAAAGAAGGTCAAGTAACGAAAACTAAATAACTTAAAACAAAATTTATTTATAATGAACTTTAATTAGCAACTAAAATCAAAATTGTTCATCTCAAACAATCTAAAATAAAAAATTAAAACTTTTGCGAATAAAAATAAATTCTTTTTCATAAGAACCAAAATATAAAACACACTTAATTTTTAAAATATAAAAACATATCTACATCTAATATTTATTACATAATCAAATACTTTCATATTATAAATTATAATTATCATTGAAAATAATATAATTTATATAATTGTTATCCTTGTGAGATTTAGTTTTTTGACACCATGTTTGGAAGATTACAGATTGAAATAAATTTCTTATTTTATATTAATTAAAAACCTTTGAGATGGTTAGTCAATTACTAAATTATAATCTTTTTAATTAGAGATGAGTCAAAAAAATTAATTTGAAAGAGATTAATATATACAGTTTTTTTTTTAAATAATATATTTTTTAATAAAATTTAAAAGATTTTGTTTGGCCATAACCTCTTAGTCTCTCTGAGTTCCTCCCCTCTTTTTAACGTTACATTGTCACTTTCTTTACAATACTATATTTATTTTATTTTAGCTATAGAGATAAATAACTTAAAATAAATAAATTGAAATATATAATTTTTTATATGAATTTTAATATGTATAATTTATTTATAAGATATATATTTAATTAGGTTACCAATAAATTACAATATTTTATAATTATACAAAATTTTAAAAAAATAATATATAATTTGTAAAATATGTTTTGCATAGAGAATAAAAAAGAAACTAAATCTCAACATTTTTTCACTTCAACTCTCAATATATTTTTTTCCTCAAGTGACTGCATATAAATTTTATATACTTAAATTTATGAAATAAAAAACCCTTTATTTTGTTATTACCTTTATTAAGATATTAACTAGTTAGCTAGCTCATCCTCCGAATGAATCATAGGTAATTATATAATTTTTTTCTTCTAACATTTTCTTAATAAAAAAAACTATCAACTCCAACTTATTTTGTTAGATTATGTTGTATTTTATTGTGAGAGTAGTTTTAGTATCATAATATAGTTTAATAAGTTACATAGATGAATATCCAAGATTAGCAATAAACCTTCATAATTTTCTAGTGTCAAACATTTAAACTCAGTTTCTATACTTAAGCTAAAGATTTCATTTTATTTTTTATTTCTCCATATAACAAGATTACTACTAATAAATATAAAGTGACTCAACGTTGATAGTCTATATTGTATTATATTGTAATGATTTAGCCAAATCAACATTAATGTATATATCTATTACTTTTTTGTGAATAATAAACATTTTTCTGGTGTTGACTTTAAATATCTTAAAAATATCTTAAAATGTATATAACTGCATTCATATGTTACTCTTTATAATCATCAATAAATTGACTAACAACACTTAATATCTGGTTTTGTGTATGCTAATTATATTAATTTCCCTACAAGTCATTGATATATTTGTTTTTCAACCGAGAATTGATCTGATGTAATAGATAATTTTAAACCTTCATTGATTAATAAGCTGACATACTCATTTCTTGCAACAAGTCTAAGTCATATTTTTTTTTATGCAAAAAAAATAAAAATCCTTTATTGAATCTAGATATTTCCATCCTTAAAAAGTACTTTCAGGGATCAAAGTTTTTCATTTCAAACTTTTTTTATAAATATTCTTGTAACACTTAACTCTTCTCTAAATATGAAAATACTATCATATATATTTTTAAACCTTCCAAATCATGTTTGTGGAGATTGTTTCAACTCATATAACTTTTTTTTAAGTTACATACATTTTTTATGTGTTTTTCGAGTACTATGCAGCGTGATAAGAGTTTCATATACACATCTTCAATTAATTCTTCGTGTAAAAAGTCATTTTTTTTACATCAAATTATGTTAATGGTCAATCCAAACTTATTGTCAAAGACAATAATACTCAAACAATATTAATTTTTGTTAAAAGAGTAAATATCTCTATATAATCAACCTTATATGCCTAAATATATCATTTTGTCACTAATCTTGTTTTATATATTTTTATTGTACCATTTGTTTCGTATTTAGTAGTATACATCCATCAACATTTTTCTAATTTATTTCCGGGTGGATAATTAACCAGACTCCAAGTATCATTATTTTGAAATAAGTTTATCTTATCGTCCTTAATGGTCTTCCATCTTAATGAGATAAAACCTCCCTTCAACTTATTAGGAATAGTCACAATTGATAACTCATTCATAAATATTTTATTTATTTTTATTAAATATATAATAACTCATAAAATATTTAAGATGATTTATAAGTAAGTTTAAAAATACCTCTAAGATAATTTCACAATTATTTAATGTTATAGTTTATTTTAGTTGGTTAAGAATAAACAAGAAAAAAAAGACAAAAACAATGAATTATAGTAAGTTTTGAAAGTAACTAATTTTGGTGTCCTTCCTTGGTATACATAAATAGTTAACGAGTATCATATTATATGTACTTTTTTTTAAAAGAAAACTAAAGATAAATTTATATAACTAAAAGCAAAAATCTCTAATTTTATTGGAAATAAAAGCATATCTAAGTTTTAAATTAATATACTATTTTAAACATATATTATGTTCATAGTATTATTATGTGTTACTAATGTAGCATTTAATTTAAAAAAGAATAGAAAAAAATAAATAAAAATAGTGATACTACCTTCAATCTCTTTTAATTATTAAAATAATAAAAAATCTACATAAAATATAATATTATCGTATATAAAAATAGAAATTTATTTATAAGATTCTGCGTTTGGCTAGTCAATTTCTTCTAGAATTGTATAACACCCTAAATTTTAATATAAATTATACAATTATTGTTAAGTTTATACTTATTACTAATTTATTTACAAGAAGATATTTAAACCAATATTTGAAATTAAGATTTCTTCATTATCAATTATTTGGGTTTAAGTAGTTGGGTTTAATTGCAACTTAACATCAATTAATATGGCCTAATTTCCATTAGGTTTATGTTGCATTAAGTGTGAAAAATCAATCGGGCCAAGCCCAATCTCCCTCAGTTTAAATCAACCCACAAAAAAAGAAAGGAACTATATTCCTTATTTTACAACATCAAATAATAAAATTACTTGGTGATGAATATATTTTTGTTTTCTACATTGACTTTATCCTTAATTATTTATATTTTAAATTTTGTTTAATTAATTTTTAACTTAAAAGAAAGGAAAAATTAGTCTTTTTATGATAATAAAAAATTATTAATAAATATTAAATTTATGTATAAAAAAGGACTAAAATACATATTATGTGAATTTAGTTAGCAAATTTGTGACGATAAAAAATCGATTATATATCTCAAAATTTAGGTTTAAAAGAAAATTAGAATAATATATTTTCAAAAAGTTGAAAGATTGAATTTATTAATTTAAAAATATAAGAAATAAAGATAATTTTGAAAAAAAAATATAAGACCCAAAAATATAATTTGTTTCCTATTTATTAAATGTAATACATAGTAAAAAATTAGTAATAACAATTCCTAATTATATTTATCATTTATAACATTTATTATTTATATTTGTGAAAATGTAATTGTTTACGGTGGAATTTCGATCGATTTCGACTTTTAAGATATTTTGATCCTAATCCACTACAAATATATAAATATAAATATATAAATATAAATATATAAATATAAATATATAAATATAAATATATAAATATAAATATATAAATATATAAATATAAATATATAAATATATAAATACAAATATATAAATATATAAATATATAAATATATCAAAATATAAATATAAATATATTTTATATTTATATATTTTATATTTATATATTTTATATTTATATATTTTATATTTATATATTTTATATTTATATATATTTTATATTTATAAATATTTTATATTTATATATTTTATATTTATAAATATTTTATATTTATATATTTTATATTTATATATTTTATATTTATATATTTTATATTTTATATTTTATATTTATATATTTTAAATTTATATATTTTATATTTATATATATTTTATATTTATATATATTTTATATTTATATATATTTTATATTTATATTTTTAATATTTATATATATTTTTAATATTATATATATTTTTAATATTTATATATATTTTTAATATTTATATATTTACACGGATAAATATAAATATAATTTATTATAATTTGTAACTTATTATCAAAATATCCTAATAGCTTAGTGGTTGGAGTATCGACCTCCAACTCGAGGTACTTGGGTTTGAATCCACGCCAATGACAATTCCCTTAATCTAATAATAATTCAAAGTTCTGAAAATATAATAAATAATCAAAATATAATATAAAGGGGAGGGGTTGTAATAAATAAAAATATTTTGTTTTAGGTGAGTGCATTACCTACGGATTATATTTCGTAGGTAAATTATCTACGGAAAAAAATCCGTAGGTAAAGTCACATTACCTACGGATTTTACCCGTAGATAATAAGCGTTTTTTTTGTAGTGATCAAAATTCTACCACGTAAGTTCTTTTTACTTAGGCTAGCAAATTAGTTTTCAATCGAGATGCGTATGAGGATCGAATTTTACCCGATTTCAAGAATACTATTTTAGAAAGCAGAAAATTTTTTGGAATCGAAAAGCAGTGCTAAATATTAGATTGTAAAGAAACGTAATATGGGGAGACCTAAAATTCGTTTTAAGTATAAAAGACAGGGAATCGAAACAGCAAAAATGTAAATAACAGGAAATCGAGTTTGCAGGAAATGTAAATGACAGTAAATCAAATGTGCAGAAAGTATAAATAACTGGAAATCGAAATTGCATTAATGTTAAATGACAAGGAAACTTAAACGCGAAAACTTAACTTTCATTGAATCGAAACGACCAAATATCGAAAGTACAGAAACATAAAATTGCTATAAAGATAAATTGCATCAAAGTAAATTACCAAGGAAAATACAGAAAGCGGTAAAGGTACTCAATGAGCATGGAAATCCAGGTTGCCAGAAGCTTCATGATGTTCGTCGTTTCTCCGGTAGACTTCTCACTAATGATTCTGTTCTCTGCCAATTTTCCCGCTCCCTTTCCTTTCATCTTTTGCTCTATTTATAGTGTCTTTTCAAGTAGTCTCTTAAGAGCAGTTAACGAAGACTACTACCACGTTCTTTGTGCACGTTTTTTGCAGTTTTGTTTCTAGCCCTGCGGTTTAGAAACTGTATCCACGTTCCCATGAATGAGGTAACCGCTCCCTTGACCTTCGACTTTTGCTACCGCTTACTATGTTCGATGTAATCGTCGACCGTTCTTCTTAGCCAAAATTTCGATATTCACGTATATTAGTTTTTCCTTCGATTTTAGATTTCGCAACTTCGAGAATTTTGGATTTGCTTTTGATTCTCGATATCCTTAACGTTACCAGATTTTGTTTTCCTTCACTTTCTCGATCCTTTTATAGATTTCTCACTAACAGTAATATATAGGTACAATTAATAATAATATTACTTGTTAACTATAATTATCAACAATAACATTAATTTAAATTAAATAAGTTAATTAATATATATATATATATATATAATATATATATATATATATATATATATATATATATATATGATACTTATTCAGACATTATTCATTAGGAAAATTAAATAGTATTTATCATATTTATTAAATATAATATATAATTGTTATCAAGAGAAATAGGATACTAAAATTTCTTTAAACAATCACACATTTAAAGAAATTATTTTAATTAAAAAAAATAGTAAATATATTCTTAATTTGTTACAGGTTGTTTCTCGATATAAAAATAACTGTAACTTTGAAGAAGAGAAAGGAAATGCGTGGATAAGGTTATTCTGGATGATAATTAAGATTCTCAATAAAAATATTAATAATTATTTATAATTTGAAACTACATAAATTAATTACATTACTATCAATGAATTTATAATATAAAACAGAAGTATATTTTAAAAATTAATATTTTTTATTAAAATTATTTAATAAGTGATATATTATTGAAATGATTAAACTAGACAAAAAACTTACATTGCAGTGATTTTTGGAAAATGCTTGTAGTTAATGATTAAGTTTATTAGTGATGCTATTATAAAGTATTCCTTTAACTTAAATATAAGAAAAGTTAACTATTTTAACACTATTATTATTATTTACAAATTTTGTGAATTCACTTGTATATTAGTTCAGAAGTAATACGAATTTAGTACATTTTAGAAGGTATATTTCACACAAATTAAAAATATACCATTTTCTGAAATAACTATATATACTCAAATAACCTCACTGTCTCACTATTTGTTTTATCCTTTGGTCTATTAATGATTTGTGCATAAAATTTATGTTCACACCATAAAAATTAAAGAAAAGTAGTATTGCTCATTAATAAAACAGCATTGATACTTTAAGAATTATGACATTTAATTATTATTTGGAGTCCATGTTTAGTAATTTATTTTCAGTGACAATGAAGTATGTATATAAACCCCTATAGCTATTATCCTTTCACAAATGAAAAAAGAGTTATTCCTGAAATTGTTAAAAATGCAGAGGGTGATAAGTTGCATGTTGATTCTGGGTTTTGTTTCAGGCACTTTGTGTCTGAGCAGCAATGCTCAAATGAAGTATTTGAATGTGATGGATTATGGAGCTCATGGCGATGGAACAACTGATGATTCACATGTATGTGTGTTTGTCTAAAGTTTTTATTATTATTATTATTAAATACATGATTCGAAAATTGCTTATTTTTCAAAGAGTTATTTTAAGATTATTAAATAAATTGCATGTTTATGTTTAATTTTGTAAAATGTGATAAATATTTTTTTAAAACTTTATTTCTAATCAACATGATATTTCTCAGCTATTGAGTTTGATGTGTGAATAATATGATATATTGGATTTTTTAAATGATTTAATGTAAATTTAATTAATAAATATTAATTTGAGTTTAATAAATTTTACAAAACATATTTATAAGATGAATGTTTTTTCATATCTGATGTACTTATGTGAAACCCTATCTTTAAGACATGTGATATTTGAATTTCTATATATCAATAATATAAGAATGTATTTGATTGTAATAATTTTTGTTTCTAACCAATGGAATGATCCTTAAATTGATTGAAGGCAATTTTAAATGCATGGAATGGTGTGTGTGGAGGGGGAGGACCAGCAACTCTATTGATACCTTCAACCAAAACCTTTTTGGTGAAAAGATTAAAGCTAAATGGTCCTTGCAAGGCCCCAAATGTAGCCATTAAGGTATGCCTAACCAAATCAAAAGGAATGTTTTTTCACATCAACAATGAAAATTATCCACACATGATGTTCAAAGTGTGTTGTTTTCTTCTCTTCTTGTTTTGTTTGCAGTTTGAAGGGAAGATAGTTGCTCCATCTATGAAAAAATGGGGTGGTAATCCGTTCAATTGGATTGAGATATTTTCTGTAAATGGTCTAACAATTGAAGCTGATGGAGGAATCATTGATGGCAATGGCGATACTTGGTGGCAGACATGCAGAACATGCAGGCGCCCAGCAGTATGATATAATTCTCAACTCTTTATTCCACAAGCCAATATATATTTCTGCAATCAATTTGTTCATATGTTGATACCCCATAAAATTTTGGAATCAGATTATAACTTTCTTTTTATCCTCAATTTCTTACAACTGAAAATTTTCATGTGAATGTGATGCAGTCCCTACGTTTCCATGCTTGTAATGGTCTTACTGTGAAATCTCTGAGAATGAGTAACAGCCCTGGTGCTCACATATCAGTGAATAGCTGCAATGGCGCATTCTTCTCTCAAATGAATATCGCTGCTCCTCGGGATAGTCCTAACACTGATGGCTTTGACATTAGTAATTCCAAAAATATAGCAATCGAAGATTCTACCATAGCAACAGGTGATGATTGCATTGCCATCAATGGTGGCTGTTCTTTCATCAACGCCACTAGAATTTTCTGCGGACCAGGCCATGGCATAAGGTTTTTATCAATTCTATCTATCATATACTTTCTTTAATTTTAAAAATTGTAGTTTATATTCTAATTGTCTCATGTAATTAAACAAGACCTAACTGAAAGTTTTAATCTATGTCTTCTGAAACATGCATGAATGAATCAGCGTTGGAAGCCTTGGTAAAAATAATTCGTACGAGACAGTAGAAGAGGTTCACGTACGGAATTGCAGCTTCAATGGCACCACAAATGGAGCAAGAATCAAGACATGGCCGGTGAGTAAATGATATATTGTGTTAACTTTTATTAGGTTAAATAATCATTTTCATCTTGTCTTTCACTGCTTCATTGTTGCCCTTATGTTGTCCAACTTCATGCAGGGTGGATCAGGCTATGCAAGAAAGATCACGTTTGAGGAAATCATACTTCAAGATGTTAAGAATTCAATCATTATAGACCAGTACTACGGCAATAAAAATCAAAGTGAAGGGGTACAAACTTGAATTTGCATGCACATTATTAAGTCATAGTGATTTCAACAACTGTTCATCATCACTTACCACAAATGTGATTTGAAATGTTTGGTGAAAAATAGGAAAGTGCGGTGAAGGTGAGTGAAGTGAGTTATCGAGGCTTCAATGGAACTTCTGCAAGTGATAAGGCAATCAACGTGAACTGTAGCCCATCTGGTTGTTCCGACATTTCAATGGATCAAATATACATTGTCTCTTCACAACCATCCAGAAAAGCCTATGCTTTTTGCCAGAATGCTAAAGGGACCATTGAAAACACTGTTCCAAAAGTATCTTGTGTATGAAATTAATTCCTAAATCAAGGAGTTGGAAGGGAAATTAGTGTTTGTTAGAAACTCCCAAAATTTATTGCAGGATTTCATTGTTAGAAGGAATAAGGAAATATCGTGAATTTAGTGTATTTTCTCTATTTTCTTCTCCTCTTACTGATCCTTGTAGTCCCAAAAGCCCTAAAATGTGTATAACCCTAAATCATGGCTTCTTATAAACTTGAAAAAGGCTAATGATGAGAAGAATATAAGTGCCAAATCAGATCCATATCTTGGTTCTATTACCTAAGTAAATGATTCATCTAAGAAAGAAAAGGGTTAATATCAAACAAAATTGTAGCTGTGTGAGATTATGAGAAGTCCAGAAGCTCTTTCATTTATGTTACTAGACCTTAGACTTCTTTAGTGATTCAGATTGTTCCTTCATATTATCCACCATCTCATCCTTGCTTTTAAATGTCTTATTTGTTGCATCCAGTTCCCGTGTGTTTGTAAAAGGGGTCCAATATAATTCTTTAGAGAATATCAAGAGAAAAAAGGTACACCGAATGTAAAGTGTATTTAATGTAAAAACTGAATTATAACTGAACTACGAAATATTATAGAGACAACGTATCAATAGAAGTTGTTGAAATTAGTTAGACTAACTAACATAACAGAATAATATGAATTATTATCTTTTGTCATGTCCACCAATTACTCCTTTGTGTCACAATGTTTAAACCTTAGCTTCTTTTTCCTTACTTTACCTATAATGAGATGAAATCTCAAACCAATATATTTGCTTCTCCAATGATGAATCATATTTTTTGCACTAACTTATCAATCTTCAGTGTCATAGTCTTCTTTGATCTTCTAAGAACTTGATTCACTAAACTCTCGATCCATAGTGTTTTCTTCAATTTGAGAACCTTTTGTTTTTCTCTAGTGATTACAAAACCTGGCGGTTATGTAACATAAATTTCTTTCTCCAATTCACCATTCAAAAATACAGATTTTACATTCATGTAATGCATTTGTCACCCTTTATAGCTAGCGAAAATTACAACTATTCTTATCGTCTCCATCCTAGCAATAGGTGCATACACTTCTTTGTAATATAATTCTTTTCTCTGTAGAAAGTCTTTTGCCACAAGTTTGACTTTATATCTTGTAACTATTCTATCTGGATTTAACTTCATCTTGTACACCCATTTTACTCCAATTGATTTTTTATTTCTCTGAGAGATAATCTAATTCTCATGTTTTATTCTTCTCGATTTTTTACTTTTCAAAAATATATTAGTTGATGAATTAATAGTTGTTGTTCTTGCACTACAAGAAAAACACCAAATAGTGACCGAAATTAGTGACTGAAAAATTCAGTCACTGATAGTAACTGAATCAGTGACTGATTTCCCTTTTTATATTTAGTGACTGATTTAGTGACTAAAATTTCAGTCACAGATATCGGTCACTGATTCAGTCACCGAATCGGTCACTAATTCAGTCACATAATCGGTCACTGATTCGGTCACTACTAGAAAAATGGTTAATAGTGACCGAAAGTGGTGACTGAATTTTTTTATATTTAGTAACTGATTTAGTGACTAAATTTTCAGATCACTAAAAATATAATTTTTAAATTGATAACTATTTTTCATTTATATAAATATTTTATTTAAAATATTTTAAATATAAATCTACTTAATAATTTAAAATAAGTGATAACATTGTTAATAACATTATAAAAATTTTAAAAAAATAGTTTACTAACTTATTAAATAATTTAGTAATATAATTATTTAATTTTATTTTTTAATTTAGCATGTGAATAAAAAAATTAAAATTGATTATTAAATTAGTCACCAGATCGGTCCACTGATTCGGTCACTAGAATCGGTCATCTGATTCGATCACTGAATCGGTCCATCGAATCGGTCATTGAATCGGTCACTAAATCAATAATTAAATTAATTATTAATTTAGTCTCTTATATATATATATATATATATATATATATATATATATATATATATATTACTTGTATGTTAATAAAAATGTATTTCAATGTATTTATAAAAAATTAAAATTATTTTAATTACTGAATTGATATTTTAAATTTATATTAATATCTTGGATAATTTAATAGTTAGATATATATTTTAAGTTTATATTAGTCATTTTTATATAAAAGTGTAAAAATAAAGTGAACTTATTTTAAAATTTAATTAAACATAATAATATAATATAGTATTAACCATAAATATGTGAAGATTTAGTTAGAAATTAATTTTAAGTTTTATTGTTTTTATTTAAAAAAAATCGTTAAAAAATTTTAAAATAATTAATTAAAGTAAAGAATTTTAATTTAATAAATGTGTTAATATTATTAGAAGAATTAAATTTATATTAATAATTATATAAAATTATAGATATATTAAAATTTAAATTATTGGTAATTTTTTTAATTATTAAGCTAAAATTTGATAATATTAATAAATTAAAAATATATATATATATATATATATATATATATATATATATTTCACTTTAATTTTTTTAATTAAAATTAATTTCATAAAAAAATTAATATTTGAAAATTAAAATGCAAAAGTATATATATTTATCTTTTATTTAATTATACTTTTACACCTAAAAAAAGAAAAAAATAATAAAATTTTCTTTTATTAATCATTTTTATAAAATAAAAAAATATATAATAATTACTTTTATAAAAAAAAAATTTAACGTTCTTGATTCTTTAACAGATTTGTTTTAACCGATACTGACAACGTTTATATCAATTAAAACACTTTACAAAAAATCTTCTAAGTTGATTTAATCAATTGTTTCAGCGATTCAATCGATTGAAATACTGCAAAACTTTCTCGTAAAACTTTTCAAGTTATTTTAAGCTGATAAAAATAAGTTTTAATCGATTAAAACATTGTGCAAAAATTGTTTTAATCGATTGAAACGAGATTTAATCGATTAAAATAGTTCTGATCGGTCATAACTCGCATTCTGATCGATCATAATTGAAACGATATAATAGTGGTTCCAGGTTAACCGCTATCTAAGTGAGCTTTTAAGAGCGGTTCCTGTGTAACCGCTATCTAAAATGTATCTCGCTTGAGCGACACTCTTCCGCTCGAGCTAAACGCCCTGCACAAAATTGGCATTCTCGGGTTGTATTTCAGCTTGAGCGACTCTAGTATCGCTCGAGCGATATTTGATTCTGATCGATTAGATTTTCGAAATGATCGATCATATTTGATAATTTTTTCAAATAATTAATTATAATCGATTAGTTTTCTAAATTATTGATTAGAATTGATTAGTTTTTCAAATAATAGATTAGAATTGATTAATTTCGAAATATATACTAAAAAATTATAATTAAAAATATAAATTAGTTAAGAATATTGACTATTGTAAAGATAAAGTAGAACATGGGAAGAGATGAGGATGATAATATAATGATAGAACTTACAAAAATGTAGAATTGAGAAGTTTGAAACAAATAAAATTAAGAAAATAGATATTTAATTACACTTTTAATAAATTTAAGATAATACTAGTTTTGATTTTTATTTTTAAATATTTATTTTAATTATTTAAAACAGAGAAACTATAATTTTAGTTTCTAGCTACTGAATTTAAAGAATTAAATTTATTATTATTTAATCTTTTAATTTGTAGAATTAAACTCAATATAATTGTTAAAAATACTTTGTAGAGGCATTTGAGAAAGCTTTTGTCAAAATACTTTGTTTTTAATTGTTAAAAACATTTGTAGAGGCATTTTGCAAAATCTTTTAAGTGAAGAAACCTCATGCAACAGAAATCTTTTCATTTTAGTATTAAAAATTTAAATTATATTTTATTAAATTAAAATAGTTACAATATTTTTTTTACTTTGAGAATGAACAATATAATTAAACTCAAAATTGACAATATTATAATACATTTTTGAACTCTTTTGGATTAATTTTTTTCCTAATTTTTGATAAAGTTAATTTTAATATTTAAAAGTATTTAACATTTTGAATTTCGAAAGGTTTTCTCTAATAGCAAATTTAAAAACATAATATTCAAAAAAATAGTTAATGTAAGTTTTCATTATGCATAATTGAGAAGATATGATAGCGGTTCCACGTTAACCGCTATCTAAAGTATAATTTAGATAGCGGTTAATGGTTAACTGCTATTAGAAGTGCAATTTTAAGAGCGGTTCTTGTGGAACCGCTATCTAAAATGTATTTCGCTTGAGCGACAATATTCTCGCTCGAGCGAAACGCCCCCTGCACAAAATTGGCATTCTCGGGTTGTATTTCGCTTGAGCGACATTACTCTCGCTCGAGCGAAATACGATTCTGATCGATCATAACTTGAAATGATCGATCATAATTGAGAGGATATAATAGCGGTTCCCTTATAACCGCTATCTGAAGTGTATATTAGATAGCGGTTAAGGCTTATACGATATCTGAAGTGTATTTCGCTTGAGCGAGACTACTTCGCTCAAGCGAAATCTGATTCTGATCGATTATATTTTCAAAATGATCGATCATATTTGAAAATTTTTTCAAATAATTAATTATAATCGATTAGTTTTCTAAATTATTGATTAGTTTTTCAAATAATAGATTAGAATTGATTAATTTCTGAAATATATACTAAAAAATTATAATTAAAACTATAAATTAATTAAGAATATTGACTATTGTAAAGATAAAGTAGAACATGGGAGGAGATGAGGATGATAATATAATGATAAAACTTACAAAAATGTAGAATTGAGAAGTTTGAAACAAATAAAATTAAGAAAATAGATATTTAATTACACTTTTAATAAATTTAAGATAATACTAGTTTTGATTTTTATTTTTAAATATTTATTTTAATTATTTAAAACAGAGAAACTATAATTTTAGTTTCTAACTACTGAATTTAAAGAATTAAATTTATTATTATTTAATCTTTTAATTTTAGTATTAAAATTTTAAATTATATTTTATTAAATTAAAATA